CCCCGACACTTTGTCCCGTCGGTGGTCCCCGAAACTTTATCCCGTCGGTGGCCCCCGACACTTTGTCCCGTCGGTGGTCCCCGACACTTTGTCCCTTCTTTCTCTAGTGCTCTCCAGGCGTTAAGGCCCCCTTCCCATATGGCCTTGGCACCCCGTTATTGCCCTTACTTTCTGGCATCCCTCGGTCACCAGGGCCGTCCATCTTTCGGCTTCAATATTCTCTTGCGATATGTCCCGCCCTGCTTGCTCAGTTCATGGCCCCTCGGGTTCTTGCCAAGCCGAATTCAAATGACCCTCCTGGCCCCATGCTATGCCCCTATGTGCCCTTGTCATGTTACTTACTTGCTTGCCATTATCGGGTCTGTCCGCCTACGGTATTTAGCCCAAGGCATTATTCCTTTCTGCAGTCCCATCCTAGTCCTTTGTCTTTTCTCTCTCTCTTGTCTACTTTCTCCGGATTTCTCTATCGTGCACAACTTGGCTATATACAGACTCTCAAGTGTTGGGACGTTATTTAGGACCCACCGGTCCCGATAACGTCCTCCCCTGACTTACACTACTATCCTCCTCTTCTAGCTCCCATTCAATCTGAATGTAGGGGACTTCGTTGGTACCGCCCTCATCTAAAGCAAGGATCAGATGATCTTTGGCCCTAACCTGTCCTGAGATGGTACGTCCCTTCCACTTCTTTCCCTTGTCCAAGTCCTTATGCCAGAAAGTGGAAACTGGCATGGACTTTGCCTCGAGCAGGACCACTTCTCTACTCGACGCATCATACGTAATATTGGTCTGTTGGGTCTTGCCAACAAAGTGCTCTCACAGGGGCTCTGGCATAGCACAATAAAACAAGTTAATTTACTGGGTCTCAGTAACCCTGTGATCTGGGATGACTACCAGATCGTCCATCACCGCCTTGAGTGCCCCCGCACTCTTCCACTGCTTAGAGTGGATGGTTTGCAGCTTATTAGAGGCCCTGACGCCTCTTGTGACGTCAACGGACCTGTCTCTCAAAAATTTGAGGAACGTGGGAAGAGATGTGAGCTTAGAGTACGCAACCATATTGTGCTCACAATTGGCTGCGCGCGCAAGGGACTTGGCAAAGCTGGCTGCTTCATCCTTCAGCGCATGGAAGGCCACGAGGACTTGTTCCTCTGGAGCTATATGCTGCAAATACACGTACGTGTTAACACTGGCCTCCCAGTTATCAAAGTTGTTGTCCTTTTTCCTGCCCTAAGAATCAGAAAATTTGAGTTTGACAGACTCTTTGCGGGGAGGCGCTTTGGCCTCTGCCGTGGCCACTACTTTGGCGCCCCCAATGGCGCCTGCACAAAATTTGTCTGCGCCTTCCTTCAGCCTCTTAACTTCGGTCCCGACGTGGGTCACCACGTCGTGCAGAAACTCTCGAAACCCGGTTCGGATAGAATGGAGGTTCATGTCTTGGCCCCTAACAGACTAATGTTGTTCAATCCAGGCACGGCCTAAGCGCTCAATGCTCCCAAGGATCTTGTCTAACTTAGCCTGTATATTAGGCTGCGCCGTTACTTCTTGTCTACACGATTGCAGACTCTCCACTTCCCTGGCCATCGGGTTAGCCTCCTCCATTCTCCTCTTCTTCTCTCTCACCGGATGCAATTTTCATTCCAACTTTTTCTCATTTTCTATTGTCTGGCGTTCCAGAGGATCGCTTGCTGCTTCGATCTCCCTCGCTGCTACTTCCTTCTCCTCCGGCGGTACATACAACATCGCCTTCTCGTCTTCTCCTAAAGATAAATTAGCCACCCACTCTGAGATATTTTTCTCCACCCACATGTCATCACCCTTCGTGCCACTGCTTTCTCCTCTTCGTCCCATACGCCTCCTTTCGAGGGCCTGCTCTTCTTCTTAATTACTAACTCTAATTACTAAAATGCTCCCCCAAACTCTAAATCGCAAACCCCTCTTACATTCTCATAGATGAGTTGATGACTAAAACACCCACTATGTTTAAACTGCTACTGACCTGTCGCGATATGACAGATGTGATGTTCTTGCTTTACGTATATACGGGGTGACCATGTTTACACACACCCACCACACACATGCACACACACACGCACACACACATGCACACACACACG